GAAAGGAGACTGCGACCACACAAAAGGCCACACCATCTTGGTTTTCATACCTCCCATTCTTTATATTTACTTCAGTGATATGTTGGCTCTTTCGTAGAATTGTCCCGGAAAGGGGCCCCAGGGTCCACCCGGCCAATGAGTTATCAGTCTTGAGTTCACTTACTTTGCTTAGGCGGGATGTAGTGTTTCACCCTAAATGTTTTTTACATCCCTACCTGTTGACCCAGCGACCCAGATGGCGTTGGTATTCCCACAAGCTACACATACTCGATCGACCCAACCGCCGGCCAGGCTAACCAGTTTCTCTCTGCAGTCTCTACTAACGGCAAGCTTAGCCTGATCACCAAGACAGAACTATCTCGAGACAGTCTGGGAAGCGACAAATTGCTGGCTCCCATCGTGATCAAAGACCCTGGCAACGGAGCAGCTTTCTCCTCCCGGTCAGCGACATCAACAATTGTGGTGACCCTTGGAGACCAGAAGCCGCCCGAACCTCCACGAGACAGTTTTGCGGCAGTCACAGTTTACGTGCCATTATGTAGGCATCAAAGCTTAAAAAAATTAATCTCTTACACTATCACTAGTCAGGCATGCGCTGTGCCTATTTTGTATCCAAATCCAAAATTTTTAAGTAACATTATTTCTGTGCGGCTTGATAAGTAGATGAGCAACATCGTGTGGCCTGATAGGTCATATTGGTCAGGACAGAAGCTAAATGAGGAAAAATTCTAAATTTGCATTCCCCTATGTGGTTATGTGGGACCAAATTATTGAGCATTCTGCAACAACATGTGAAGGAGGAGCAATCAAATAACATTCATAATGAGTGGGTTTCGGTGATATCAGTAGATCTTTGAGTATTATTGGTGGTGCTTATTAGACCAAGCGAGAGAAAAGATAAAGTACAGTTCTGCCTGGATGAGAATACCCACTAGAATGCAAGGCTAAGTGAAATGTATTGGCATTGTGAGACTCATTCATAAGATGGTGAAAAATTGAAACCGTTAGCCTTTCCTTACCCTTTCCGAGCTAGGGTGATCAAAGCCCTTAATCTGTATTTATTGGGAGTTTTGAAATCCCAATCATTTTGAATGTAGGCACAGTTTTCCAAAGAACTATTTACTTCGATTCCATATTTTATCTTATAGCTTAAGCGAAAATAGTCGAAAATTTGTGATAGAGGGTCTGATATATACGGTGCCCTCATTACAATAAATAGGCCTCCCAACGCATTTGAATTTCACCTATACGAGATCTAATGATAGTTGAAGACAGCGTTAGCGCGATACTCTAAAATGAAAATTTATATACTTCTAGCTAAATATTATATAATAATAGGTGAATGTACACAGTGTGATGCAGTTGAAATGTTATCCTAGCTTTGTCTCTCTCTGCCTCTCTTTATCCGACCATTTATTTCTAATTAATGATCAATTTCATACCATTGTTTCATAAATTTGTTAATTTTTTTGGATTAACAAATTTGTATGAGACTAGAGCCGATGTTTTAGAACAGTCGCTTGTCTTGACTACATCACTTGCAACCCTCTAACATATTGATGGTCACATTGAACTTTGGTAGTCGATCTCAGTGGATGCCCCTAGAATCTAGCCAAGCGCAATGTATGCTTATTTGTGTTCACTGGGCTCATCTCAAAATGAGTTCTTTAGTTCAGTTTGGTGATCCAGGATTCGGTAATTTGTCTGCATAAGATAAGGTGAATACTTAATTTTGATTTGATTCCAATTTATCTGTTTTATATAAAAGGCCGCTCATCTCTTAAGATTAAATCACTGGAATTCGCTTATTCTTGTCTCTCAAAAGATCTTCTCATCCTGGTTCGATTTCCTCATCGTATCATCATTACCCTTAGAGGGATTCGAAACCGGGTCTTACGTGTAGAGTGGAAGCACTATAGCATTAGACCACACAGCCATGACTGTCAAGGGGGAACAAAGTAGAACATCTTGGTCGTCATATCTTCAAAGTAGATTTGACTTTCAAAACAAGCCAAGCTTATCAAAAAGCATATTTTTATAATGGCAACACTAATGAGGAGAGCTTATATTCGTAAGTTCAATCGAATCTACTCATATTCGATGAGATTTGGTTTCAAGACAAGCAGTAATTCTTGAATAAGGAATTATACATTTATTATAGATACGAAGAGAAACTTGGTTTCGATGAATCTCCTGAGATACCATTGTTAGGGGGACCTTCATTTCGA